GTGGAGACGGCAGGTGGTGGGTTGGGCATGGGGACGACGTAATTCTGACTTGGACAGTTAGCAGCATCAGCGCATTCAGAGCCAGGACACCCCGCAGCGCACCCAGCTCCGGGGTGGGGGGGGGGAGGGGTGTGTGTGTGTGGAGGCAGCTAGTCTCCAAATTAGCTGTGCACACGGGGTCGAGCAGTTTGGCTTTTGAAGGAGGGGAGCTGGACAGGGGTGAATACTCACCACACGAAACAGTGAGCGGCGGAGAGGACCCAGGAGGGGGCGATGAGGGAGCCCCCGCAGATGTGCACCCCGCTGTGGTGCAGGCTCACCTGCCACGGCCAGCGGCCCGGCTGCGCGTCTGAGCCCCCCACGATTCTGGCAGAGGGGTCAGGGCGACCACAGTCTGCAGCGGGGTACCGTGAGGTCATATCCCGTCCCTGCCCCGCACCCCGGAGGCCCCGGTAGCTTAGGACCAAGTTCCGTTCCTCACCCCACTCCAGTGTGCCGCCCTGAACAGAGAACAGAGGACTGGGCACCTGCAGGTTTCCGGTCCTCTCCACCTCCCTCGTGGCCTAGCCAGCCTCAACCTCCTTTCAGACCCGAGACCACCCTCCGCTTCCAGCCCCTGCTCACCCAGATCTCCAGGTTCTTCCTGAGCAGGACTTGCAGCTGCGAGTCAGACGGTAAAGAGAGGAAGATACTGGCGATTCCGGCCCTGACACTGCCCAGGCCTCAGCTTCCTTCACCCCCACCCTCGTCCTCTTCCCCAGTTCCCTGCCCTTCAGCACCCCCTGCCCCAGCACCCAGGCCCCTCCTATCTTTTTGCCTTTGCACCTGCCTTTCCCCAGGTCAGTGGCCTTACCTGGATCCTGGGAAGCTCCTGGGATGGGGCTGAGGGCTGGAAAGAGGAAGCAGGGAGAGCTGGAGCCCTCACTCACAGCCTGCCCGCCCCACTCCTGGCTTTACACCTACTCCCTCTCCCACTGCAGCCAGGCCTCCTCGCTCCCTCCTCTCTCACAGTTTCTCCCTCTTGCCACCTCACTCCCTCGGTCTCCAGATGGCCCCCTCCCCTTCTTCTGACACCAGCCTCGCTGGGCAGAGCTCGGGGGTCCTGCTTTCCAGCTCCTCAGATGCTAGGACCCAGGCCCCTGGCAGCCATCCTCTGCCTCCTGCGGTTACCGAGGGTCACGAGTGGGAGAAGCAGGTGCGGGAACATGGCACATTTGAGTCAACTGGAGGCACAGAGCTGGGTGACGGTCTGCTCCCTGCCACAGCTCTGTCACTGTCTAGGCGGCCGGCGCCCGTGTCTCCTGATGATCTCAGGAGCAGCCCCACCCTCCCTGGCCAGAGCCCATCTCTGGGAATCTGAGAGGATCTGGGGTTGGAAGGGGGAAGTAGGGAGCTTGAAGGCCCAGCCCTGTCCCATCTCACATCTCTGGAGGCCCAGGGCGGGGGTGGGAGGCAGATGTCCTAGTTACAGGACACCTGTTGGGTGCGGGAGGGAGGAGCGGAGAGCCCTGTGGGCAAAGGCACGAAAGGATAGCCAGGGGCTGGGAGGCCAGTGCTGGTGAGGCAGGGCTACAGGTGAGCAGTGGCCTTTGGGACAGGAGAGGTGGCCCCTCATTGGCTTGACTCACCTGAGACCTCACCTCTGTTTGGGGTGTGGCTACCCTAGTGGCTTGGGCTTTTCTTCTCACACAGCTCTGGTTACTGAAGTTGCGGGCCAGGTCCGGGAAGGGAGCCCTCGGGAATACAATCCCATCCCAACAAAAGGATCACAGATTCCGGCAGGTGGGGCAGGGCCCAAGATTCCGGGACGGGGCTGGGCAGGTGGGCAAGGCCGGCAAAGGACGCCACCTTTCTCTGTGTTGGAAGAAGTCCTCTCAGGGGTCCTCCCACTTCCTCTGTGTGACCTTGGGGAAGTCACTCAACCCCTCAGCTTATATCGCTATAAGCCCCTTACACATATGGCGCCCTAGCCGGTGTGGCGCGGCTGGGTGTCCTCCTGTGCACCGAAAGGTTGCCGGTTCGATTCCCAGTAGGGACATGCAGGAGGCAGCCCATCCATGTTTCTCTCTCTCCCTCCCCCTTTCAATTTTAAAAAATCTTTAAAAATAAACATCACAGATATGGAATCTCAAAAAGAAATTGAGGAGAGTTCAATGAAGGAACTATTTACAAAGGTGTAGGCAGGTTAACAGAAACCAGCAAGGGATTGCTACCCCGGGGCTAGCAACCATGGAGAGCCCGGCCTGAGGAGACAGAGAGGGAGAAGGTACTGGAACCAAGAAAGAGAGAGCGCTGCCAGGGCCAGCCAGCAGCTGTGCCTGCAGTGGAATGCAGCCGTTGTCAATCCGCATATGCCCTGCCTGGAATCCAACCCGTGACCTCTGGGTTCACGGGTCAACACTGAACCACTGAGCCACGCCGTCCAGGCCCTCACCTCCATGTTTATTCTCCACCCTTCTCCATGCCGATCTATTCCCCCAGAGAGTGACCCTTATGGGCCACATCACGGACTCCCTGGCTTCTGGTAGGTTTCAGACACGGAAGGATCTGGTAGACGATTAGAGGGTAGGAGGAGAATGAGATGGGGGTTTTTAGTTCCCAGTCTCTCTCTGCTTCAATAAGTGGAGCAACAAATCAATGTTTCTCTCTCTTTCTCTCTCTGAAAAAAAAAAAGAAAAAAGAAAGAAAAGAATTATTGTCTTACATCAACAGATGAATGGGTTAGAAAACTGTGGTACATCTACACAATGGAATACTATGCTGCTGTAAAAAAGAAGGAACTCTTACCATTTGCACGGCATGGATGGAACTGGAGAGCATTATGCTAAGTGAAATAAGCCAGTCAATGAAAGAAAAATACCACATGATCTCACTCATTTATGGATAATAAAGACCATTATAAACTGATGAACAAAAATAGATACAGAGGCAGAGAAGCATCAAACAGACTGTCAAACTACAGCGGGAACGCTGGGGCGGGTTGGGGAAAGGAGGTAAGAGATCAACCGAAGGACTTGTATGCATGCATATAAGCATAACCAATGGACACAGACACTGGGGGGTAGGGAAGGCCGGGGGAAGGTCAAGGGGAGAAAAAAAAAAGGAGACATATGTCATACTCTTTGTAATACTTTAAGCAATAAAAAAAAAGAATTATTGTCTTAGAGTAGCAGTTCTCAAATATAGTCTGGGAGCTCCTGGAGGGGTCCCCAAGACCCTTTCAAGGGGTGCCCAAAGCCCAAACTATTTTCATGATGTCAAGTGTGCCATGTAGGTTTTCAAAGTCTCCTTGATATATAATATCCCAAAGGGCTGGGTGCAGAAGCAGGGATGAGAAACATCTGCAGGTTTCCATTAACATATAACAGATTTGTTATTTTTAAATAAATTAATAAATATTTTAAGTATTTCTCATTTTTTTCTTTTTTAAAAAAATTATCTTTATTGTTGAAAGTATTACAAATACCCCCCCCCCATTTCCCCCGTTGACTCCCTCCATCCCACTCCTGCCCCCTCCCAGGCTTTTTTTCTTTTCTTAAAAAATGTTTTTATTGGTTTTAGAGAGAGAGGATGGGAGAGGGAAAGAGAGGTAGAAACAACAATGAGAAAGAAACACGGATCGGCTGCCTCCTGCATGCCCATTGAGCCTGGAACCCAGGCATGTGCCTGATTGAAATCGAACCGGCGACCTTTCAGTTCATGGGAGGACGCTCAACCAACTGAGCCACATTGGCCAGGGCAAATATTTCTCAGTTTTAATTTAAGATGCAGTAAATATTGAAAGATATAACCCACATAAGCAAAAGCTCGGTGGATTCCTCCATAATTTTTAAGACTATAAGGAGGCCCCGAGACTGAAATGTTTGAGAACTAACTGATTGGAACAAGCAGTTCGCAGCGAGGGTCTTCATGGCATGCACGCCTTGCTCTAACCACCCTTCTACACACGCTCCCTGTCTTTTCTACCTTTGAGCAATGCCAGTTTAAAGAGCTGCCCAGGTAATTCTGATAGTTCCTCCACCCTAAGACACCTTGTTTAAGAATCACTGCTCTAGCCCTAACCGGTTTGGCTCAGGATAGAGTGTCGGCCTGCGGACTGAAGGGTCCCAGGTTCAATTACGGCCAAGGGCACATACTTGGGTTGCAGGCTCGATCCCCAGTAGGGGGTGTGCAGGAGACAGCCAATCAATGACCCTCTTTCATCATTGATGTTTTTTTAAAAAAATATATTTTATTGATTTTTTACAGAGAGGAAGGGAGAGGTATAGAGAGTTAGAAACATAGATGAAAGAGAAACATCGATCAGCTGCCTCCTGCACGCCCCCCACTGGGGATGTGCCCACAACCAAGGTACATGCCCCTGACCAGAACCGAACCTGGGCCCCTTCAGTCCACAGGCCGACGCTCTATCCACTGAGCCAAACCGGTCAGGGCATCATTGATGTTTTTATCTCTCTTTCTCCCTTCCTCTCTGAAATCAATAAAAAATATATATATTAAAAAAAAAAAAAAAATCATGGCAGCCAACAGACACAGGCCTTATATTTAAAAAAAAACAAAAAACAACAACAAAAAAAAAAAAATTCGCAAGGCTGGTTTTTATAGTGCTGCCCAGTGCCAGGCAATAACACCACAATCAAACCACAGCCAATAACATAGTTTTATGGGGCATGCCTCTGGGTATGAGACACAGCACCTGGAGACACAGTCCTCTGCTGGTTCTGGCTAGTGGAAGGGGAAATATATTCTTTTTCTATTGCTGACCCAACAAAGTATCCTACACTTAGAGGCTTAAAACAGCACAAGTGTAGGCCTAACTGGTTTGGCTCAGTGGATAGAGCGTCGGCCTGTGGACTGAAAGGTCCCAGGTTCGATCCCAGTCAAGGGCATGTACCTTGGTTGCGGGCACATCCCCAGTAGGGGGTGTGCAGGAGGCAGCTGATCCATGTTTGTCTCTCATTGTTGTTTCTCTCTATCCCTCTCCCTTCTTCTCTGTTAAAAAAAAATCAATAAAATATATTAAAAACAACAACAACACAGATGTATTATCTTACAATTCTGAGGGTGAGAGTCTGACATGCTGGGCTAACAAACGGGCCCTTAGGGCCGTGTTGCTTCCTGGGGGCTCTAAGGGAGAATTCATTTTCTTGTCTTTCCCAGCGTCCACAGGCTGCTTTCATTCCTGGGCGGACGGCCCCTTTCCTCCTCTTCAGATGCCTCAACATTGCATCGCTCTGACCCTTTCCTGTCTTCACATCTTTCTCTCTGACCAAAAGCAAAAACGGGTTCTCTCCGTGTGGCCACTCCACCTGGCGTTGCTTTGCAATTGGCCTCCATGCACGGAGCGCAAGGAGAGACTGAAGAGAGGGGCAGACCCCTCCCCCGGAGGTGGCAGGCTTCCCACGCTGGGGACTTACAGACAAGGCGGGACGCGGGTGACGGAAAGGAGTAGCTCTTGGTCCCATTCACCCAAATCTCAAACGTTTATACAGAGGCCCTAGCCGGTTTGCTCAGTGGCTAGAGCGTCAGCCTGCGGACAGAAGGGTCCTGAGTTCGATTCCGATCAAGGGCACATGCCCGGGTTGCGGGCTGGATCCCCAGTAGGGGGCGTGCAGGAGGCAGCCAATCAATGATTCTCATCATTGATGTTTCTATCTCTCCCTCTCCTTCTCCTTTCCTCCCTGAAATAAATAAATAAGTAAATACGTAAGTAGGTAAATAAATAAATAAAGAGCCCTCTTACTGGTGGCTCAGGACTCCAGGGCGCTCCAAAGCAGAAGCTGCCGTGCCTTCTGAGCGCAGGCCTGAAGCGGCACAGCGCCGTTTCTGCCGCGTTCTATCGCCCAGAGTCAATGAAGGAAGGGGCTCCAGAGGCCATGAATCCCAGGAGGCGCGCCTGGGTCATTGGGGAGCATCTTTGGAGGTGAGCTAAACAGACTTTCACAGAAAGAGGCTGCCCAATTGCCAATACGCATAGGAAAAGTGGTGCAACATCACTTGAGAAAAGTGGAATTAAAAAAAAAATCTTCACCAGGGTATATGTTTACTGATTTTAGACAGAGGGGAAGAGAGAGCGAGCGAGAGAGAGAGAGAGAGAGAGAGAGAGAAACATTGATCGGATGCCTCTCACTGACAAGGGATTGAACCCATAACTTAGGTATGTGCCCTGACCAGGAATCAAACCCACAACTTTTCGATGTACAGGACACTCCAACCCACTGAGCCACACTGGGCAGGATGAGAGAAATGGAAATTTAAATCACCAAGAAATACCACCACATACCCACTAGAATGGTTAAATTCAGAAAGCTGACGACACTACATGTTGATGA